GAGCCGTCCTGGAATTGTGTTTCTGTAAAGTGCTGTGACTAACGTGCACGTCATCACAAGAATCAGTGGAGAGAGACATCACAAAGTTCCCTGTTAAATACAAGCTCCTACCTTCGCGGACATGCCCCTCTGTGAAATTCTAGACCCTGCAGGAATCTGATCTCAACCTGAATCCCAGCCCAAGGAGCTGAGCAGGAGCATTACACGGTGTGCGGTGGGCTTCGGGCCAGGCCCTACCGGTGTGTCGTTCGAGCGCTGTACACTCCGTGGTTTGTATAAAAAAAAAATTCCAAGCGGCATGGAGAGAGGGGAACAGAAAAAGCAGCTTATCATGAAAATGGAGCAGAGATGGAGCTTTGGGTGGGATGGGAAGGCTACTTTCTGAGATCATCAATATCCCAAAACACGGAGAACACCCACCTGGAGGATACAGTAAGCCCCATTTTTCTTTTTCGAGAGGATTTTGAACGCTTCCTCTTCATAGCCGGGTGCCACCACACCATCAGACACCTGCAACACACCCACACGTTAGCGCCCGGGAGAAAGAACAACACTCATATCCAATTTCAGAGGCTGTCATTAGAAATAAATGAGAGGCCTGAGCTGAAGCCAGCAAGAGTCACTGGACTTCAGCAGACTTTTTGGATGGGGACCGGAAGGGATCAAACCTGCAAACACTCGCACAACTAGCATTGCAGAGGAGACTAAGCCGTTCAAGGACAATCGGAGTCTCAGCTGCTCTGGGCTTGCTGGACACAATCACCGTGGTTAGGAGCCACAGACAACAGGAGTGTGTGGTTTCCCCGTGGAAGGCAGTGGAACACTTCCCCCACACACTTCCTGTGGATGAATTCATTCTGTCCCTATTTGAAGCAGGTGGCTTGTCATGCCTACTGTACAGAAGTAAGGTGTGTATCACGTTCTCGTTACGTGAGCCTCTCTGACGTTCAAAGTGATCAAAGTCCTGGTACCTTTGTGAATCTTGGGGTCAGAAGAGATGGTGGGTTTTTTGCAGTTGGCAGAGTTCCTTTTCTAAGAGCATCAAACCCTGGTTTACACAAGGGAAGTGGTACGTATATTTGGAGCAACACCGTTTGGACCTAATGCTTTGACTGGTCAGAGACTGACCGACAAAGAAACCCCACTTTCAAAATCATTCCTTGCGGCAAAGGATACGTTGAGGACTCATATAATGACCAAATGCTGCCCCAAACCACATTAAAAACTGACAAAGGTGGTTTATTTTCATCAGGGCTACTTTCTTCCCTTTTTAGACAACCCTCAGTGACACAGAATTCAGCCCAGAACAAATGCTAACACCCACCTGTTAAGTATTGACTGACTGATTTAACTTCGCACTCACAGATGCTTCTATTGTAGTGGCATGTGCGAGAAGGCTCGGTAACATAGGCAATGGTGAACCCCACAGAATTAGAAGCACTGTAGATCTGTGAACTTAGCCCATTTGGTAAGTAGCAATCTAGAAATCCACTTCACATTCCCAGGGAGAAGTAGACAGGCAGCTGTAGAACTACTAGCAATTCCCCACCGTTGGGGAGGATCACTTGATAATTCCCTGGTCTGTACATGCCCTCTGGGGCATCTGGTATGGGCCACCTTTGGAAGACAGGGCACTGGACTACAGGAAACCCCTGAGATGCTACCGCCTGAGTTCCGACCCCCTCACTTACAAAAATGGTTGTAAGTGCGGAAGGGGCCCAAACCACCCGACTTACGTCCTAGGCCCGCATTTACGATAGTGCATGACACCTATCGTAAATGAGGGTTCAAATTACGATGCCTCCGACTTGCGAAGCTTCCCCAAGAACCGATCACATTGCAAGTCAGGGGCTGCCTGTAGATAGATCTTTGGTCTGACCCAGTCTGGTTGTTCTTTTGTGCCATCAGAACTGTTTAATTTTCTGTTACTATAGGAGTAATTATCTGTTACACAAACAGGAGTTCCATGACTTGCTTAAGCGGTGAAGTATGATCCTGCCTTAGAAGTTAGTAGTTTGTTCAGTTTTCACATTTGCCACCACTGACTGCATATGAGCTATACTTACAACAACAGATGGGGCAAAAAAAATCAAGACAGGTATAAATTCTGCACCCAGGATATGAAGTTACCTGAATGGACCAATAAATAAAAAGAACAGAAACAAAAAATGGACTAACAAAAAAAAAGTATGACTTGGAAAAGCCATTATGACTAATCAGTTCACCAAGAGCTATGCACCACTGCAGGATAACTTGTTCTTTTACTAACCTCTCTGGAAATGATTTTAGCTGTAGGGACATCACAGATATCAGAGAGGGCGATGAAGTCACCAAATGAAGACATCCTATCAGCACCTGCAAAAGAAGGTCAGGAGAGTGATTCATCCGCCGCCCCCATGCAAACCCTCCCACCCCTTCATGACTCAGTTTGAAGTCAGAGTTTGCTAATTTCATCACAGAGCAGAAGAAAGGGGCACTGAAGAATCCGAAGGAAAAGTCTCAGCCAGTCTTTCTACCGTAAAAAACGCACCCTAAAATATTTCTGTAGGTTCACGTTTTCCTCCTCCGCGTTCTCACCTGCAAAGCTTCTGTAATGAACGTCTCATGGAACACTGACCTTTCTAAGCGAAACCAGAGGCAGAAATGTATAACAATGATTTTGTATTGTATCTGTCATGAATTAGTGCTCATTAAAACCAGAGACAAATCACACCAGAGGGCATTGTGGAGACTTCCCATTCAGTAAGGTCAATGCTCTTCAGTTTTAATCAGCAACAACCTAGCCATCCTAATCAAATGGCAGTCATGTAGTAATGTTTTACATAAACAATGACCACCACAGTTGAGATTTTATCTACCTTGCTTTTCCTGGAATATGAAGGACAATGAGAAACTGACATCAAAATATCAGGAGCTGAAAGTTGAGCCTCTGAGAAGGGGCAAACGGATTTTTAGCCTTCCTTTTTCTGGTTGCTGTCTATACTTTTAACCCAAATATGAAATAAACAAGCGGGAGAAAAGATTTCTGTGGGAATGATTCAACAGGCTCCCAAGCACAGTTGAGGGCTGAGGGCATCTGATCCAGTTCTCTGGTTGTCTCGATTCTGCCGGCAAACACCGGAAAAAGCGTTCTTAGCTATCTAAAGTGAAAACAAGATGCGGTTGAACTAGTTAAGCTCACCTTGACTTGAGAGCCCATTCTGATTTGAATCTACGTTCCAGGAGAGGCACCTGGATAGTGCATTAATCTGAGTTTAGACCTTCTGGAGAAAAACCTAACATACAAGAACTACCAGGATCTTGTAAATATCACCCTGCGCTTGCTAAGAGAAGAACCAGTGAACCCCCGACACATTGTTCAGGAGAATGATCTTCTCTGCTATTTGCACAAGTTATTTTAGGACGTGCCATCCCACCTCTTGCTCGTGCATACGCAGTGGCCAAAGGCGTCAGGCTCTTGTGCAAATCGTGCACCATACAGACTTGAGCTTCTTCCACGGTGAGCGGCAGCCCCACAGCGGCACCTGGTGGAGGCAACCGGCAAAGATTGAAGTGAGAACTATATTCTGGTCCCAATGCTTTCATAGCTACACCGCTAAGTCAGGCGCCGCAGTGGCATTCCAAGAACAGAGGAGTCTTCGTTCCTTCCAAAAGCCGACTAGCAAGACGATCCCCTCTTACCTGCAGGGCTGACGTGTTTGAAGGAGGTTGCTGCAGGAATGTCCAGCGCCCGCTTCAGCTCCTTCACCAGTTGCCAACCATTCAGGGCATCACATAGGTTGATGAAGCCAGGGGAGCCATTCAGAACTACACAGAGATCATAAAGGCATGTGAAAAGGTGAAAGCTCCTCTCCCCACGGAGCCCGAACCCGGAGTACAGGGCGTCCCCGCTATAAGTCGCCCCAGGATACGTTGGTTCCGCATGCTTGCGGGAACTGTTCTGGTTTAAGTCCTCCCATTCTCTGCTCTTCCGTCACGCAAAAAAACTACAGACCGATTCACGCAAATGGAAGCCAGCCGCGGGGAAAAAAATTCCCCGCTTGACGTCCTTTCACTATACGTCCACTTTTTTTGAATGGATCTTGGACGTACAGTGGGGACGCCCACTGCAAGTGATTTCAAATTGAAACAGCTATGCATAGAATTGGCCGTTACAACAAGGCCACCACTGTTTTCTTTTAGGCACACCGAGCAGGTAAGGAAAGAACGAACTGGTTGCCTGGCACAGTGGACAGCACTGAGCGCACAGAACGAAGCTCAAGGTTCGATAGGACTCCCACAACAAGGACAGCCCTGCAGTTAGCACACTGGGCAAGGACGCAGGAAAACGAGGGGGCAGGAGAGTCAATTCCTGCCTCTGGACAAGCCCCGTACCTCAGTTTCCCCACATGTAAACGAGCAAAAACAGTCCTATTTTTGGCTCTCTAAATTCTAGCAGTGTGGGGTTCTTGTCACAGAAGTAATTAAGGACCATGGGAATACATTATTTAAATACAGTCATTTCTGTTCCCTCTATGGTGGGTCTTCTTAAAAAACCACGGGTTCTTTTTAACTAAGCCAATATAGCCTCCATTCAGTAAAGTACTTAATTTTGCACCTAACTTAAACACACAAGTTGTCCAATTGACTGCTGCAGGATTACATACTGAGGTAAAGTTAAGCAAATGCGTCTCAGCAAAGCACTTACTCCAGACCTTGAATCAGAAATGCTAAATCAGACGAAAAGCACAATCGCTCCCAGCACCAAAAATGCGAAACAACCCCTAAGTATTTTAATACTATCACGCCACCTGCATACTCCAAATTATACACACAGAGAAACACCTGTGTCTGGAGTAGGAGGATAGGGAAAAAGTTATTCTGGTGTTCCTGATGGAGGCATGGACACCTGAAACTAACATTAATCTGCAGACGTGCAAGGCAGATTTGCTATCAAATTGGCTTCCAACTCCTGTGCGTGAGTCTCCTAAGAGGGCATTCAGTTAAAACTACAAGGAAATGTCATTAGGACCATTTCTTAACTAGCATACTGCCTATGATGAGACATGACAGCCAGATCTTCCAAACAGAGACACTGCAAACACAATTACGGGGAGACAAAACAAAAGAGGGTCATGCTATTATCACGAGGATAAGGGAGAGCAGCAGAAAACTATCTGAAACAGCATGAAACAGAAGAGCTGTCTGTATTAAAGGATTCACCAGAGAAAGAAATGAAAGTAACTGCTGGGAGAAATTTTGGAGACCGAGAAGAAAAGAAGGGCAATAAATAAGACAACAAAGAACATTTTAAGAAACGATAAAAGATTTTTCTTCCTTGATTTTAGTAATAAGTTAGGACAAATTAGCTGCTGCAACTCAGTCCTGGAAGAGCGAAGATTTACACCAGTTCTGGCTGTATTCTTTAATATGAAATTACAGTCAAACTTGCCGAAACAAACAGACTGTAGACACCAATTTTCCTCATGACAGCTCCAGTCTCTCGCTCTGTTCATTCATTTAATGCCAAGCGCTTCTTACTCAGCAACAAACTTACTTAGAGGCCTTTGTGGTGTGGCATTCGAACTAAGTAACTGCAAGACACGTCAGTCCCCAAGCAAATATCATGCCACAGAACAAGTATACTTCTGTAATGGAAACAAATCTTTCAAGACCTGAGTACTTCAAGTGCATCATTCTACTTCTTTCCAAAAGACAGAGTAGAAATATTTATCAAACACTCTTGCCTTTGCTGGATCATTATTAACAATTTTACCATCTCCACCTGGTAAATGGGTCTAGACCAGGAGTGGGCAGATGCTTTATTTACACATGTGTCCTCGGGGACAGCCGCTCGCAGTTCCCATTGGCCACGGATCAGCGTTCCCAGTTAATGGGAGCTGCGGGAAGCGGTGTGGACTGGAACACTGCTTTTCACAGCTCCCCATTGGCCAGGATCTGAAGCCAACGGGAGCTGTGAACAGCCGTACCTGCGGACACAAAGGTAAATAAAGCATCTGGCAGCTCAGCAGGAGCTAAACCTGGCGAACTGTGTCCGGCCCAGGGGACACTTATCACCTACCCTGGTCTAGACCATTTCTAGGATTTATTTAGTTCCTAATTGTTTTTTGTATGTTCCACTCTCATGAGCAGGCCTTGACAAATGGCAGCGAAACTTACTCGCCAGCCCCGCACTGCGCATGCGCAAGACCCACATTGCGCATGCACGCGCCGCCGGTGAACGGGGTGACCGGCTGAAATCTACTCACCACGGGCGAGTAGATTCAATGATTTGTCGAGCCCTGTTGCAGAGAACTAGCTGGAAAAGCATAAAACCGAAGCCCTCTATAATGAAACACAGAAAAGTACAAGTAAAAAAATCCTAGCAAATGAGGCAGGCATTGTACTGGTTCTGCCTGACCCTAGGAAAATAAATACATATATTGCTCTAGGTTCAGGCAGGACTAATCAAGCACCAATCTTACTCTCTCTGGACATCCCATAGTTCTACAGGGGAGCACACAGCCAAATGCTTCCCTTTTAAAGCCACAGGGCACAGCTCAGGGAGGCATTTCCAATTCAAAATCCAAAACGTGTTTTCCACAGGTCGGGCTCAGCTGCGGCCGCTTAGCCAGTCCGGCTTTCTTACCCGTCAGAGGAAGCTTAGGCCTCAGCGTATAGAGCTGCGCAGGGGTCTGGTGGGGGTTCATGCCGTACCGCAGAGGAAGCTGGGAGACCCCCTTGCTGTACTCTTTCCTGAAGTAATCGGAGATCGCCGTGTCGTACTGCGCAGTGTGGGTGAAAGCCTGAGGACAGACGAGGCAAGATGGTTGGGTTTCCACGGCACTCTCCTCAGAGAGCCCCGCGCTGTTCTAAGCCACGACAGACCTTCAGTGCCAGATGACGCCGGGTTTCCAAGGAGGTGTCCTGGCTTTGAGAGGCCTTCATCTCTTCAGCTACAGAGGTGTAATCGGCGGGGTCACACACGACCGTCACGCGGGCGTGGTTCTTCGCAGCAGCCCGTAAGAGGGCTACTCCTCCTGCCAAAAAAGAAACCCAGAAGTGTGGGACACTTCTCTTCCATATCCAAAATACCTAGCACCCCACCTCTTAGCCCTAAACCAGAAGCATCAACCTAAGGGCTCGCGTCTCCCTTCTCTACTAATATTCTACACGTGAGGATCTCAAAATCCTATACAAACGGTCCTGTGTATAAGCTTTGAAATCATCTTTCCTTCTTAAACCCACTTGCGCTCAGCTATTAATATACTTTGGCTCACACAAGAAGCCCGAACCTTGCGAGAGACCACAAGGTGACCAGATAGGAGAGATTCTGAATTATTGTCTTTTCATGGGATGCTGAACAAGGCAAAGCCAGTCCTGTCAGCTTAGTTACTAACATGAGGCACAGAACTGCACATCAGAGAGAAATTCTCCTTCCCACACCCTCCCTACATAGCACCAAATCAAGGGTCCCGCCAAATTTCACAAGAGAGTAAACTGTGTACAAACACAAGCCCCTGAATGTGTAACTGTTCCTTGCAATGGAATGACTAGTGATGCTTCTTGGTACTTTTAACTGTGTCACTTTTCTTCTCCAAAGCGCCTATATTTCACTGTATTGATGTGTGCTCTGGGAAAACACTTCACCTGATCTCTAAGTTGCAAGGAAATCTGCCCAATTTGCCACTTATAAATAACCCCCCTTTCATACACACATGCTGCTTCAACAAGCTAAGCCGAACTCTTCCATCACGGCTCAATCAATTAGAAGAAATCCACGTTATTTTCAGGATTCCATTCCTCAAAAGCATCCCACATTACATCCCGTCACCCCAAGTTAGTCAACATACGTCTGTCCTCAGCTGGCAATTGCCAGAAGAAACACAGTCGTACAGATCAACTGAAAAAGGACTCAACGAGTAACAACCGTCATCATCCCGGCTGCAGAGCATTATGGATGCATGACATCTCCCCGGAAGAGGTCACAACCAGATCCGAGATCAATGTCTTTCTTCAGTTATCACTTTGCCCACTGGTATCACACCAGCCTTCAGTGAAAGGTTTCTCATAATAGTTTCCCAGGGACTTACCGATGTCGATGTTTTCAACCGCCTCCTGTACAGTGACATCTGGAGAAGACACGGTCTTCACAAAAGGATACAGGTTACAAACCACAACTCTGGAATTGAAAGGGAGGGGGGGTAAAGCGTGGGTCATTCATCAAGAAGTAGGGCAGACAAGTTAGGCTCAGCTGTTCCCACCGTAATTTTTTTTAGGACCCATTCCTTTCTTGATTTAAACATTCGAGTGAGTGAGAATCCCCTTGCTAAATTCTTCCAGTGATTAACTCCACCGGGCTAATCATTTTTAAAATAAGCCTTCCATCTTCCAGGCTGTCACACTTCACCAAATGCCATTCATTTGGGCTTCCCCATATTTCTAAGCTCTCAAAGGTTGCACCCCTGAAAATGTCTCATGATCTGCGGTTAAATGTGCCGCGTAATCAGACATTTACCGCACGAGGTTGAACTCCTGCTTGTCCATATCCGCTTCATCTTCTGGAATATGACGAGCCAAGATTCCTAGTTACAAAAACAATAGGTTTTTTAACAATGGATAATTAAAATGGTCTCAGCATCTTTCTTCAGAAATGTTTTACCAGAGATTGGAATTCCATAAGCACATTCTGATTGTGTGTAAATTACAACAACAGCAGCAAAAGTCACATCGTATTGGCTTTCTGGCTGCTCAAATGTCACTAATAGATGTCCCAGTTCTAAATCCCAGGAGAACTCCACGGGCCGAACACAACTGCCACAGAACAACTGAACGGAATTTTGAAATACGGGAGCTGTCCAGAAAGGCTTTGGTGTACAGGTAAGGAGGAAAAAAAGAGACCCATGACCCAACACCACTAAAACAAATGAGGAGGTAAAATGGAGCCTGGAACAGAAGGAGACAGGTGAACAAGATGTGCAAGGAATCCAGAACGGAAGCTCCCCTGAAGAGACCCTACTTTTCCAGTCTTCTTAAGAGTGTGAAAGAAGATGGCCGATGGGTCCGACCCTACAGATCCCAAGTGCTGCAATAGGAGATAAAGCCGCAGACGGCTCCTTGGGTGGACTGGCCAAAGAACCAGAGCTCTTCCAAAAGCCAGAGCGCAAATCAGCCGCAACGCACAGGGAGCCAGTGACGCTCACAGAGTGCGGGAATCACTCGCCAAAGCCGAAGCTGCCCTGGGACCTCATTCTGCCAGCCACATCCATCTACGGGCCAAGTTCAGTGGAGAGCCATTCAGTCTACTAGGAGTCTGCAACGGAAGCCACACGGCGCGGCAGGAAGGTCTCCACTCTCAGGTGCTTTCAGAGCAGAGAAGCTCTGCTCCCCGCTGAAATCCGGGCGAAGTCCTCTCCTAGCGGGCAAGTGCTACTCCCAGGATGCCAAGCCCGTTCCTCGAGGACAAACCTCAGCTACAGAGAGGGACTGCCATTGCACAGGCAAGACCCTCCTGGCAGGCTCCTACTCAGGGAACAATCCCTCCCTGTCGCTGAAGTGACAGGAGCATCCTGGGAGGAAGGATGCTAGGTCTAAGTGCCACGCATCCTAACGATGCAGCTCCTGCTGACGGCAAGTGGGTTACAACTGAGTGACCTGCACCCTCATCAGGCCTCATTCCCCAGTTCTTCCACCTCATCCCCGGAGGGGCCATCCTGCAAGCCGCCCCACCCCCCTCCAATTTCCATTTCAAAATGGAAGCACGCCAGCAGCAACTTACCAGCATGGATTGCGGGGTGCAGGGTTTTCACACGCCCCCCCAGCATTTCAGGAAATCCGGTCAGGTCAGACACGTCTCTGGTCCAGGGGAAAACAAAACATTGCAATGAGTGCGTGGCAAGCCGGAGTGGTCACCCAGTATGCTCATTCATGGCGTTATCCGGTCCCATTGAAATCAATTGGGAGTTTTCACATTGGCTGCAAGGGGAGGAGGGTCAGGCCCTAAAACCTTCAAACTTTAAAGGGAGACCCAAGACTAGGAAAGCCAAAAATTAGACTTTGCACAGAGGAAAATCATGACTTCTCCCTCTCCAACCATGGTGTAACGGGAGAATGATTCGTGTACCCTGTACATTCACAAGACTGGAGCAGAGGAAAGGCGTGATAGCTAGGTTATTCGTGTATCACAAGACTCAGCTTTTATCCATTATTGCAGCCTTGTTGTGAAGGGCTGATAGACCTTTCAGAACAGGGTGTCTTCTGGAAACACTTCCGCGTTAAGGTTGGTAGGGGTGACGGTTCCATTACTCCTGTATCTCTCAACACTAACTAGCGAGACATTCCTAGAAGCAACTGTGATGAGCAGAAAGACACTAGGAATGCTCATTGAACGCTCTCCCGCAATTTAACACATTTTCCACATTTAAATCCATATTTTATGTAAAACCTACATCCAATGCAGCACAAAAGAGGAAGAACGTTGCTTCAAATCCACTCCTCCCAACACAACGAGCGGCTCCCAAAATAAATCAATCATTCTAATGGGCATCATCTGCTCTTCCCACGAATGAAAACAAAGCATGTATTTTTTGTAGTCCAATTAAGCGGCTCCGCGCAGTTATTTTGTGAATGGGCTTTTACAGTGAACTAACCGAGTGCAGCAAAAGCCAAGGCACCGTGACTGACCAAAAATAAAGTCACTATTGATGTTGTGTTTTTTATTTAAGACAGAAGACACGGACTAGATAATCTAATAAGAGCTTATACAAAGGAGCTGTGAGATCAATCTTAAAAGAAAAATTATGTGGGGAATATGACTCAGTCCAGCAAGGTAGGTATTATTTTTCGGCTCACAGACAGAAATTCAAGGTACCAGCACCTAGGGATGTAAATGGTTAACCAGTTAAGTGGTAAGCCTCACCGTTAATGGGGGAGGCTTACCTGTTCCAGTTACCTGGTAGGAGGCTGCTCCAGCCTGGGGGGCCCATGACAGGCAGGGGCTGCTCTGGCCAGCCGGACGCAGCAGCCCCTGCCCAGCTCCCCCCGCTGTAGGTTACAAGCTGGCTCCCTGGGAGCAGGCCTGGCAGGGATTCCCTGGGAGCTGGCTGCAGAGGGAGAAGGCGCTGGGGTCTCTGCAATATAAAGCTTATTTATACTGTATACTGCCGAGCCTGCAGTGGGTGTAACTGCTGGGATTTGCAGCGGCTACATGGCACATTTTTAAACAAACACATTTTTGACATCCCTACCAGCGCCGTTCCTTCTGCAAAATGCGCCTTCCCCACCCCCGCTGTTACCCAGGTCTTCAGAGCTAGCCGTAGCGAACGCATTCGAAAACAATGAATTTGTTTTCCCAACTCCTTCGCCTCATGACTGCTGATCATGAGAAGGAACAGAACACTGGGGAGGGAAGGAGACTAACGTGACCGTCTCCACGTAGTTTCTCAGAATCAAAATGTTTCCTCAAAGCACAGGACAAGCTGGCGAGTGATTCTGCACGCCTCCCTTTTCAACAGAGGAGCCCTCACACTTTCGGCAATGCAGGGCCCTCAAGGGTGAACCATGCTGGCCTCCCGAACACGAAGGGCACTCTCTTGCCACTTGCGACAAGCCTGGCCACTGTTTTCAGGCAATTTGTTAGTCTCGGCCGTAAGGGTGGTTGAGAGCAGAAAACCTCCAAATCCCCATAAAACCTGAAGCATTTCTACTCTGTGGCTCATCTATTATCCAAGATGGGGCAGAGACCAGTCTGAGCTGGGGCTAGGGCCCGATTTCAGATTTCAAGATAACATTTCACCTCAGGGGAGAGGAACCGGATCAGGGAAAACCCAGGACCACCTGGATTGCAGGGACCTTCTTTTCCCCCCACCAGACACCACACACATTCCCTTGCATGAACCTTCTTTGGACTCAATCAATCAGCTTCCAGCCAAGGAGCCAGACGCTGTGTCTCGTTGCTTTTAAACGGTATTTTCCCCCTCCCCATCTCTTCCAACGTCAATGAACTAACCAAGCAATTTGTTTTCAGGAGGTTTTATAGGGTGCGTCTACACAGCAAAGTTATTTCGGAATAACGGCCATTATTCCAAATAACTATGCAAGCGTCTACCCAGCAATTTCATTATTTTGAAATAATTTCAAAATAATGGAGGGTTTACTCCAACTTCTGCAAACCTCATTCTATGAAGAATAACGCCTATTCCAAAATAGCGATTTCAAAATAAGGCGTGTGTAGACGCTCCACTGCTGCTATTTCGAAATAGCCCCTAACCAGGGCCATTCTAAGTTATTCCTCCTGGGGCTCTAATGCCAGGTCGCACGTCTACATTGGGAAGCCTGCCTCGGACTCATTTTGAGGCTTCCCTGCAGTGTAGACGTGCTATTTCGAAATAAGCTATTTCAGAATAACTATTCTGGAATAGCTTATTCTGAAATAACTGTGCTGTGCAGATGTACCCCAAGAGAGAGCTCTTACCTCACATTCAGACCGGCTTCTCTAAGACAGTTTGCTGTTCCTCCAGAGGCAACCAAAGCCAACCCAGAAGAGCTGAGACATTTTGCAAATTCCACTAGGCCCGTCTTGTCTGAGACGCTGAATAACGCTATGGGGAGAAGAGAAGAGAGCAAACATTCTGGTAACACACTGGTGGAGTTTCCCCTTTACCACACTGCATAATGTAACAGACTTGAGGCCAAACTTGAGAATAACCTCACTAAACTTGATTTTTGAAATCAAATCTAGAAATCACTCCTGTCATACTGAGTGTCCAAATACCGACTGAGTCCGCTGCCTGGCTAAGTAACTCCAAAATCTAACAGTATAATGAAACATTTGCTTGTACTCTCGGACGCTATGTTGGCTACTAGATGAAAACAAAATTGGGACTAGTCTAATTTCATCTGGAAGAGCAACATACAAGTGCGATTGTTTTGGTTTTTTTGCACTTGAACTGAATGTCCACAACTGAAAAACAAGGCCAAAATAGCAGCTTGCTATTGGAAAAATACCCAAAATATTTGTGGATATTTACAAAAATAGCCACGTGCTTATCTCACTTGGTTTGTGAACGCTACTGGAAACTTTATAGTGGAAGAACAACAGAGTCTATGAATGGATTTATTAAAGGTGGGGCATAATGATTGTGAAGTCTTATCTATTATCTTAGCAGTGCAGATTAATGGCACCAACAACCCATTGTTTACAGATCCAACACGCTGATATCATTAGGCTTATGTTGTGAGCATTTGTCTCTGAGTAACTTTATGCATGTGTTTGCAGGATCAGAGAATGTCTGCACTGAGTAGCAACAAAAGCAGATGCTTCTGTCATGAGCAGTGCTAATCTAAGTTCACCAGACTTGATAGATGCTTTACGAGCATTTAACACACACACTGCTAGGTGTATCTTTGTTTCATGATGGCTAAATAACAGAAGGAAAAGGTTAAGTTACTCACCTAGGGCTCCATAGCAAATTACGATCAGAAATTTTGCATTTTCTATTGGGTGGGGGAAATGCAGGCCCAGTCCTCTGCCCTAATCCCAAGATCTTAACAAAGGCCCTGCTCTGACATTTGCATCTGCACATGCAGACCCCTCGACACCCGAAGAACTGATTGTTCAGGTGGACTCTGAATGTTTCCAAGAGAGGACAGCAGGTCCCAGAAAATCAATGGGCAAGTAATACTAAGGAGGGAAGCATTCATTTTACACAGGATTCTAAAGGCGCTTCTGGGTATTTCGAGCTGTATCTCCTTCCGCTTCTAGCCAAATAACTTTAAAAGTCAACAACCAAACCACCTGTTCACCTGGTCAGCATAGCTACCAGCGTGTGATCTGGGTTCTATTCTGCTCCAGATCTCATACTAATTACTAACCAAGGCCATGCGAGCCCCCTTGCAGCTGCCAACATCATAAAACCAGCCCCAGGACTGAGCGGCAGGACCCATACCAGTGGGAAAGCATCTCCAGCTGACATGGCCCTGTGCACACAAGAATTGGTGCCAGCAAAACTTACCTTGCTCTGGGGAGTGGAAAAAGCCCCACATACCCAGAGCGACAAAAGCTTTGCTGACCTATGTGCTTAGTGGAGACATGGCCTAAAGGCCATTTGAACAGTCATGGCGTGAGGCTAATTCAAGGTCACATCGCAAACCCTGGGTCAGGACCCAGCACTGGGTCTCACTGCTGTAGGGTGGCCTGGTGACCAGTGGGTATGCTAAGGCAGCTTTCCTGCCTATCCTGGCGCTGCGGACTTCACTGCATCCCGGAAGTGGCCAGGACAGGTGGGGGGCCGGGGGGCTCCATGCGCTGCCCCCGCCTGCAGGACTGTCTCCAAGATTTCCTGCCTATCCTGGCGCTGCGGACTTCACTGCATCCCGGAAGTGGCCAGGACAGGTGGGGGGCCGGGGGGCTCCATGCGCTGCCCCCGCCTGCAGTACTGTCTCCACACTCCCCTTGGTGGGAGGGGGGGCGCGCGG